CACTCTGTATAATTAAATGCATTCAAAATATTTTAATTTTCAATGAAAAAATAATATAATAATTTAGAGGAAAGCTAGTGAAAATAAAAGATAAAGAAAAATAATAAATTTCTTTTGAGAATAATAAAATTAAGCGTTTAATATAAAGAGCATATTGGAGTGTTTAAACTTTTTCTCTCTAAATTTATAAATACTCTCTAAATTATAGAACATCATTTTTAAAAATAGAGAGTCTCCAAAAAAGGCTCTAACGTGTAGATCGTATTTTCATACTTCAATTATTATGTTTATCGTAAATAAATATTTAGCTGAGCTCCTCGCCTCTCAACATGCAAAAACATAGGAGTATGTCATTTCTTAATTTAACTATAATTAACTCTAATCTACTAGCATTAAGAAATCACTTATAAAGCTCGAGGTGAATGCCCACAATCTTGAGCCTTAATTTTAAAATCCCTCATCGAAGAAACCTTCTTCTTTTGCAAGACGAAAATTGGTCCAATAGATACAACGATAGGGAAGAAAATGGTTACACGACAAAATCTCTTGCCTTAAAATCATCAAAAACAGATAGAAAGAACAAAACTTAATTTCTATTTTGTTGACGAATGCTGAATTCAACGTGGATGATTTGGATTGTTCCTTTCGATCATAGATATGTAGTAGCAAATTTTGGTTGAGAGTATTTTTGTTGTATTACGAGTGTTTTGAGGTAAAAACAACCATATATGAGTTTAGATATTGCTCATGTTAGGGAAATTATTTTGATGGAGAATGTTTTGAGTTGATGGCATCGTGGTTGATCATGCCAAACGACACTCGAATTTCGAAAATAGTTAATAGATTTGGCTTGATCAGAAGACTCCTTGGGTGAGGTCAACGGAGAAGTACCCACCTGGATACCTGTGTTAAGACCTAGTTAGAGGCTTTGTAGTCGATCTATTACAGAGGGTTATTCGGTGTTTTTGTTAATCAGATGAAAATTAACAATGTTCTAAAAAGCGTAAACTGTGGTTAGGTGTGGAGACCAATCTTCAAGCTTTACGAACCTAGGCCAAGCTTAGGCGTAAAAAAAAACGTTTTTTTTTAATTTTAAAATTTTAATTATTGTAAAAAAAATTCAATAATTCAAACAATACATACCAAACATCTAAAATTATAAAATATTGTATTTACTAAATAATTCATACATAAAGATACGTTTGAAAATTATAATTACATAACATATATAACTTGTAGCTTAAATCTTATCTAATCTAACTCTTTATCGAACTCCAATTCAATATTTTATTCTTCATATAATTCGTCATATGTATTGTCCGATACAAAATCATCATTATTGGGCTCACTTATTTCATTTTGTTCATTTCTTGTACCTCTTTTAGGTTGTAAGATATCATTCTCCTCCTCACCCTCATCATCACAACCCTCTACAATTCAAGATTGTGCATTAGTAGCATCACTTGCTAGCAAAGTCTCTATTTTGGCTTTCCTCTTCTTCTTGTTCATCAACCTTGCATTAAATTGGATATAAACCAGATTGTTCATTCTCGTAGTGTCAAGATCGGGCTGTGGGTTTTATTTAAAAAAAAAAGGAAAAAATTGGGCTCCTTAAAATTTAGGCCTGAGGCGGAGGCGCGCCTAGACATCCCTAATAACTAGGCACGCCTAGGAACGCCTAGGCAAGCATTAAGCGGTCTACATTGTCGTTGACCGCTTAATTCCCGTTTGGACTCAAAGCGAAGCATTTTCATCATGCTTCTCGTCTAGGAGCGCTTTTTAGAATACTGAAAATTTGTCACTGCGTTACTCGAAGTGTTGGATAGTTAGGCGATGGAAGTGACAACGAAGGTAGTAAGATTAGAACAGAAGACATTACGTGCTTTGGATAACATGTTGAATTATTTCGTCTAAAAACTTGGACCATATTTATTTATTCAATTTATTCTTTCAATAAATATCACATAAATCAACATTCAAGTTGAGATCTACTAGCTATCCCTCCCACTAAATTTTTCAAATGATGCGGTAGAGTACACTCCAAGTCACGTCACATTTGAAATAGAATCTTACTATTTATTGACAAGACGTAAAGTACCTACGTATGAAAAATTTAATGGAGAGAAAGCCAAACACGGACAACACTTGTAGTCGTCGACATCCGTCTCACATATTTCATTTCTAAAATTCCATTGGTTGTCCCAAATGCAATGGATTGTGTAAAAAGATCCTATTTCATCCAAATCAAATCAAGTTATAAATTTCAAAAAATTATTAATAATCAAATCTCAACAAATCCGCAAACTGTTGTGGACGCTTTGCGTCGCAAATTTCACCAAAAAAGGGTATCCAACCCAGAACTCCAACATGTATCTGGCTTACACCCAATATCCTCACACCTCACCATTTCATCAACAACTGGTTTGCACTTAATTCATCTCAAATTCATCCCCATACACTGCAACCCTAAAAACTCGATCTCCATAAATGGCTGCGCAAATCTTTAACTCGGATCATATCCTTAATCGTTCTCATTTCTTGGATGCATTACATAAATATAAATATATACTACTGAATTTACTCATACAATGTCACAGTCTAGCAGTAGCACAGCTAACAGAAATTCCGGCCGGCACCCAGTTTATAAGGGAGTTAGGCGCCGTAAAACCAGTGGAAAATGGGTGTCTGAAATTCGGGAGCCAAGAACGCCAAACAGAATATGGCTTGGCACATTTCCTACTCCAGAAATGGCTGCAGTAGCCTATGATGTGGCAGCACTTGCTCTTAAGGGTTCTGAAGCTGAGCTTAATTTCCCAAATTCAGCTTCTTCTTTACCAGTCCCGGCTTCTCCCTCGCCGCGTGACATTCAGGCTGCTGCCGCCAGTGCAGCCGCTGCAGCTGGGGCGGCGGTGGATGCTTTTGGTGTTAGAAACAATATGGTTGACATGACTGCAAATCCCGGGTTGTCTGAAATCCCTGAGTTTATTGATGAGGATTTGATCTTTGATATGCCTAATGTTCTGATGAACATGGCTCAGGGAATGCTTCTTAGCCCTCCCCGCCTGGGGGACACTGGTGCTCCTGAAAATATAGAAGATGAGAACCTCTGGAATTACCTCTAAGTATCCACCAGCATCTATATATATTCAGCAGTAATCATAAACAATACTAATAATAATAATAATAATAAATCTCGCATGAAAAGCTCTCCAAAGTGAAATAATATGAAACTGTAATGCGAGTATGATGTCTCTTCCATGTTCTTTTGTTGCATTGTAAAGGGTTTCCTTCAGCTTTCTATTTGCCTTCAAATCTCTTTTTCTTTTTCGACACAATGCTACTTTCAAGTCACTTGAAAACAACGAAATAAGCCCCTTTTATCAGTATCTTGGTGGAGGATCAGAAATTAAAGGCTTTGCCTTCAAAAAGAGAAATCTCAATTCCATCATGTTTCTGTGTACAATCTAATTAATCCTCGTTTTAAGCAACCTCGAAGCAGGCTTTCTTCAACTTAAAGGAAATTAACAACCCAGTAAATTTTCTTTTACCCCATGAAAAGAGAAGCTGAAGCCGAACTTACTGCATTTCATAATCTCTGCATCATGAGCAAGTGATCATATACACATGGAAGACCCAAAAATGAACAACCAAAAATCTTATTCCTATGATAAATTTCGTCTGAAGAACAAGCATATAAAGATAAAGGGCTGCAGAGAATTAATTTTCAGCTTAGAATTGAGTGTTAGATTGGAGATATGAGATTTCAAATCAAAATAAATCAGCAATAGTATGAAGAGTTTGATGTTGAAAAAGCTGTGAGGTTGGGAGGTTTTTTCAATAGAAATCATTCAGTCGTTGATTCTAGGGTTTTGATCAACTGTTACATTGATTTGTGGTTAAAAATGAATAGGAGCAAAAGTGTGTTACGGCGTCCCAAACCCCACTTCTAGTTGACGTGTCATTCTCATATGACTTTGGGTATTGAGTGTAGAGGAATATTAATTATATAATTAAAGAAATATATTTTTTGATGTTTATAATATATATATAAACTTTTTTATTTTTTATATTTTTAAATTTCATCTCGAAATTTTTATTGATAATTAACGTCACAAAATATAGTCGACTAAATACACAATGATAGTAATCATCGTTAAGACGCCATACAATGAAATATTTGTGCGTAATTAAAACTATCATCATATGTATTCGTTATTGTATATGTTTATATCCTTTTTTTTTAATATAGTGATTGTATGTGATATGGAGTGTCAACTAGACACACACACACACACATTCACGGGACTAATACATAGAAAAAAATTCATAAATTTTTATCTACGTATAAAAAAAATGAGCTTGGTAGCTCTTGGCTATGACCAAAGTGTTTAGGATAACGACTATAAATTCTTCTACGAGCCATCGATGTAACTTCAGCAATCAACATAAATTTTCGTGTTTCCAAAAACTATCTTTACATCCGAATGACTTAAAAATTTGTGCAAAAAACAACTAACACGACATATGGTAACGAAAAATACGATACGAGATATATAAATAGAGATTTTTTAATTATATTTTCTTTAGCTCCCACCTCTTTGGATAGCTTAAAATAATTCAAAATTAACAAAGCATTTACTTTATTTAAAGTCAAGTGTAACATAATAGTTTGTAGATACCAAAACCACTTATTGTGTATTTCTTGATGAGTAAATTGCACAATTAAGATTCTCTCTCTTTTTTCATTATAAAGTGAGTATTTGTGCACGATCGAACACAATAAATTATCTTTAATTAATTGCAATTTGTCGAGTTGAAAAGAGAAAAAATATCTGCAAGTTCGAGAATAAATTATTCGTGATTAATTTTAAGCGTGGCAGTGGAAAATTAAGTAGCAATAAGTCAAGATAAGTGATTATTAGAGATTAAGCAAAATGGTGTAAGCACCACAAAAGCCTAATTATCATCTCCATTGACTTAACTTAATTTGTTTTCATTTTCCTGTTTAGGCACGCTAATGACAAGAACCCCACCTAAGTGTATTTTGAGATCAGTCATCTGAAATTAATCCATGCACACATTATAATACAACTGTAAAAAACTGTAATTGATTTGAGGGAGATGTTACATAAATATATAATTTATCTTCACAATACACAGTGTACAAAAAAAAAATATTGCTTTTTTAAAAATAAGTTCTTTTCTCCAGCCCCCACTACTCCACCCCGTGCCCCAAATTTTTAAACATAAAATTTATTTAGGAATTTTTCGACATAGTTTTTAATAAAATTTTAGTAGATTTTAATAAAAACTGATGAAATATGTGGTTTAAAGTTGATAATGAGTATGTGGGTCATATAAACGTGTGATTAAAATTAGAGTTTAATCAGTCGAAAAGTTTAAAATTTTAGCAAAATATTATCTTGTAAAGGTTTTGAATCATTTCTATCATTAATATTGTAAGTTGTAACCCATATGGAAGTTTTTCTAAACCTATAAATAGATTTTGAAACAAGCTATGCAAATATAAGTGGAGGCATAAATCTCTTTTCCATTCTTGTGTGACCTCTAGCTCTATTAATTATTTGTTTAAAGTAAGAGCATGTTATGAGCATAATTCTATAACTAATTGATTTAAAATAAAGTTTAAGTTTATTTTTATTATTGGGGTTAAGTGTACCAATATATATTGTTGACCAATGTTATTAAAATTGGTCACATCAACCGGTTCAACTGACAAAACAAGGAACCGATTCTCGGATCTCATAGGATTGCTAGCAAATGTCGTCTATTTTAAAATCGATTGAAAACTCATAAATCGGACAGTTCGATAGAGACTTGATGAACCAAACATGATGTATCCCAATTTCATATATCAATTGTTTTCCTAATAAAGAGAACTATTTAATGGATTTTATTATTTTAAATGCAAATCCCACCCGAGTGCAACAACTTTCAGTGCACACTCCCTAATTGAGTGCTAATTCACACACGACAACCCTTTTATATATTAAAATAATCCCTTTCTCTCATTCATATGATAATTTTTTTACGTGGAAGTAGTAAAACTCCAAATAAGACCCATTTCTCATTGAGTTGACTCTTTCATAGTAAAAAATAATATATTTTCATACTGAAAGTGGAGTGTGTTATTTTTTTTATAATTGGGGCCATTTAGCCCATGTTTGGTGGGCTCTTTTTTTTTTGGGAAAGACATAGTTTTAAATAAGTGGAAATTAAACAAAAGAAGAGTTTCCAAGATTTAAGTTCAAATTTCAGATATAATGTTTCAATTTTCAAAAATCAGTTTATTTTATTTTTAAATATTAAATATTAGTTATACAATTTTCATCCCAAACCCTAATCAATTTCATTCCAAACAGACAAACCAATTTTCTACCTCTTCTCACTCTCTTCTCTCTCCGTCATCTCACCATCTTCTCTCTCCGTCTTCTCACACTCTCTCTTCTCTCTCCGTCTTCTCGTCGATTATTGGTGCTCTCGCTGATCGACCACTTTTCTGCAGTCTATTGATTCCGCTCCAGGCAGCGCTGCTTCTAGTTTCTCTTCCAGATCGGTTGCTTTGATTCCATCGGAGCACCGTCAGCGCTGGGATCATGATGCGTCTGAGGGTGCCTGCCACACCATCACAACGACGTTGCTCTGAGAGCGATGTGCAGTGCTGCTGCACTGCTCACAGTAGGCAATGATGCCAGAACCATCGTTGTGGTGGTGGTGTTGGAAGCGGTGATGTGGGCAGTGTTGGTGAGGTTGTGGGTTGTTGGATATAGTGGTGGATGTGGTTTTGTTGGCGGCGCTAGTGGTGGTATGTGGTGGTGGTAGATTTGTGCGGTGCGGTATTAGTGGTGGTGTGCGGTGGTGTTACGATGTGGACGTGGCGGTGGATCTGTGATGAGGTGGTGGTTGGGTGTGATGTAAATGGAGATAGAGAAAATGATGGTGGTGGTGTGTTGTGGGTGGTGCGGTGCGTGATGGATTTGTGCGGTGTGCGGTGGTGGATCCGTGTTGCGACGGTGGCGACGATTATGGTAGGGTTGGGAATTTTTTTTGGGTTGTAGGATGGGGGGTGGTGGTGCAATGATTGTTGGTCGGTAGTGGTGGTCGTGGTGATGTCGGTATTTTTTAGATGATGGTATACTGTCGAGAGGTGGTGGTTCTGGCAATTGGGTTTCAGTTGCCATGCTGGTCGTGACAGTGGTGAGGTGGTAGTCACAAGTATTGGTGGTGGTCACAGATTATTTGGTTGTTTGTAACCATTAAATTGATTATTTTGTGATCGATAAACAATATTCGACTAATGAAAAAGATAAATTGTGACCAAAAAATAATGTGTAGTCTAAAAAATTGTTAATTTGTGACTGATAATTTGTGATTATCTAATAAGTTGTGACTTATAATATTTGTGATTTGTGGCTGATAAATAAATTGTAACATATAAATTTTTTATTTGTGATCGATGAACATATTGTGACCTATAAAATTTTTGAATTGTAACGTTAAAATAATTTGTGAGATATAAAATTTGTGATCAATGAATAATATGTGACTTATTAATTTGATAGATTTGTGAACGATGAATAAATTGTGACGTATAAAATTTTTGATTTGTGACAAATGAACAAATTGTGACCTATAAAATTTTTGAATTGTGACCGTAAAATTATTTGTGACATATGAAAATTGTGATTTATGACCTATTATATGAAATTTGTGTCCAAATTATATTGAATTGTGATCTTTATATATTTAAT